AAAAAAACTGTTTACCTTTGCCGCCATTAAATATACAAATCCCACCATCTCGCCCGTCGAATATTTTGTTTCTTTTTAACGTAGGATTACTATCAGTTTTAATCCAAACTCCGGCCATTGCATTGTCAAAAATTTCATTTTGTTCGAGTAAGCCTAATCCGCTATTATACACAAGAACGCCACCGTTTTGTCCACCCCATATTTTGTTTCCTCGTATTACTGGATTACTTCCAGTTCTGATATTGCAAAGACAATGTGCAAAATTGAAAAAAAGAAAGAGAAGAAAAGGAAATAACATTTAATAAATAAATAAAAAAAAAAATAAAAAAAAATGATACATATCTTACCTTATTTGTACTCCTGAATACAAATGATTGAAAATATCATTGTCTTCTAGTTTTCCATGTCCATTATCGTAAAAATAAACTCCAACCTGTTTTCCACTATGAATACGATTTCTTCTTAATACCGGCGTTGATCCTGTAGTTATCCAGACACCTGCTAGTGTATTTGCATATACTTCGTTTTCTTCAATCAAACCTTGTCCCTTTTCGTGCACGTATATACCACCATGTTGACCATGATGTATTTTATTATGTCTAACAATAGGATCCGAATTTGTTCTGATCTGTATACCAGCTAAGGCGTTACCATAAATATTATTATGTTCGATCAAGCCTCTCCCCTCGCCAAATATATATACTCCTCCTTGATGTCCATTATAAATTTCATTTCTACGAATAGTGGGATTTGAATTGGAGGTAATCCAAACACCGGCGAAATTATTCGAATGAATTTTGTTGTCGATAAATTGTCCCAAACCATTTTCATGGACATAAATTCCACCTGTTTGGCCATGATGTATTTCACAATGCACAACAGTTGGATTAGCACCAGCTTTTACCTCGAAACCCGCTATTCGATTATTATGAATATCGTTGGCCTCGAAATATCCGAGGCCATTATCAAACGTAAAAATTCCAACATCCCGACCATGATGAATATGATTTCTTCGCATAATTGGATTTGCATAGTTCTTCACCCAAATTCCTGCTAACGCATTTCTAGAAATTTCATTGTCTTCGTAAGTTCCTTGTGCATAATCGGTGACATAGAGTCCAACGTTTTCACAATCCGATATGTCACAATTCTTCACCACAGGATTTGCCCCTACGCCCGATACGCAAACAGCTGCTCCAACTAAAACGATCGAAAATCAATAATAAATTTAAGAATCCACAAATCTAAAAATCAATGATCAAGTTATTTCATAAGAGTTGGGGACAATATTACTTACCAACACTCGAACTTCTAATGATACAATGATCAACTGTAGGACTGCAGTTTTCGCCAACTTCTAAACAATAATGTTTATGATGCGGTACTGTGCTAGTAACGTCTGGGGTAAATTTTAACGTAAGATGACCAGCATAAGCTCGTTTCGCTCCTTCTACAAACATAACTGTAGATTCACTTTCTCGCTCTAATATAACAGATTCTGCCACATTTCCAGGTGCTGCTCCGATTAATGCAACGTCGCTGTCAATTACAAGAAATTCGCCTCTGTATATTCCAGCATGTAAGAAAACTAAATGTTGAGGTGCTTCTTCTGCTGTCTGGGAATTGTTCCCACAACAGTTTCCTTGACCACTTGTAGTTGTGCTATTTGATGAAGGGCTGCTATTGCTTCTATATTCATCTACATAATCTAATGCTCCCTGAACTGTATTAAAGTATGGCAAATTTCGTCCTTTAAACTTCAAATCCTGAAATCCTGGCCTGACATGCACTCCTCTGTATAATTGTCTAAAGCTTTCTTTCCATGGATTCGGATAATCTGACTCATCCGGGGATACAAATTCAAATTTACAAGGTGCAGGATTAAATAGTGGTAAGTCATATTCATAGACTTGTTGGTACAGAGATTTCCACAGCTCCGTATCATTTGCGATAGTCTGAAAACGTTTGCAAACTTGGGAAACTCTACATAAATCCTGTTCCATTAGATAATTAAATATAGTAAGCAGCACTTCATCTGGTAACTCATACTGAAGGTAATGTGCCGCTGAATTTGTGTTTGTACCTGTAAAACAAGAAAAGATATTGAAAGATTCACTCTTGCGAAAATAATATCTAAGATAACATCTAATTATTAGTAAATATACCATCTGTGGATAATGAACAAGTTCGTCTAGGTCGTTTTCTTGCTGGCAAAGAGGAAGAACCAAGAGTAGCTCCTATACTACTGCCACCCGAAGGAGGTAATGCAGAGCTAGTGCCAGGAGCAGGATCTGGATGAGGTGGACTTTTACGCCTTAAGTCATATGGAGATGAGTGAGAATGTGATGGGGAAGGTGATGGTGCTGCAACTCCAGAAACACTGGGTGATGATCCTCTTCCACCACTTCCACCCCCACCTCCACCACCACCACCTCCTCCTCCTCCACCAACTCCTCCACCAGGAGGTATCTGATTTGATGCTGAACATGGCAAATCGCATGGCTCGGCTGAAACACAACAATCTTATTAGCTAGTAATATTTAATTGTATTTAATGTCTTGATATATTTATTACGTATATAAAAATTTATTAAATTCATAATTAATTTGAAATATGAAAAAGAACATCCACTGTCTTGTACTGATAATTGTATTTCATTAAATATACTGTTTTATAGAAGTACATTTTAATCAAAATTAACGTGAATATGTCTAACCTAAATACTATAAATTTCTATTAAACTCCGTTATTAGCTACAATTACAATTACAAAATGACAGTAATTTATGGATTATTATTCAAACATCAAGATATATTACAGAGGGCAAATTCAAGGTGCAACATTTCTGAGTCAAAAATGAAAAACACAAATAGTTTGCAAAAGGACGTTATAAATCTTAGGACATATGTTCATTATTATATATACACAATTAATTATTCAACCATACTCTAGGACAGAAGTGTCATTTTCACGTTCAAAAAGCAATTGCAACATTTCCAATGATGTACAAAGAGTACACAACGCGGTTTGGGAAAGTAGAGCATTATACTAATTTAATAGAAAATCTATGGTTAATGTAATATCAGATTGAAAGATGCTTGATTCCATAGTTTGATATCAAAGAAAGATTATCGAAATCGCGAGAGGATCGA